GGTCCCATCTACAAGTCAACACGAGCTATAGAAAGATATGTCACCCAATGATTAAAATGTTACAGTGGTTCAATTGTAACTTCTCAGAGTACTGTTTCTGGTGTAATGGAAACTAAAGCATTAGTAGTAAACAAGCAAAGGAACTCTGAAAGTTTATGTTGTGCTAAATAAAGTTAATACCTTGTTGCTTTTGGTGTCCATTCAAGTTTTAAAAGCTGAGTAGTGTGGCTGCATTATTGAAGGCACCTCCAGATGGGGAAAGTTGAAGCAGTCTGGTTCTTATCTTTAGTCTAATCTATTTCATCTCTCACTTGAGCAACCCTTTCATCCATATAGGTCAACATTTTTTCGTCCTGGGAGAAGGGTCCAGACAGGCATTTGGATCATTCCTGTTTGCCTCCCTTTTGCTTCATGACACTCCCCTTCGAGCCCCTTGCCCTGCCTTTTCCCATGGCCATCATTTAGCGGGCCATGGCAACTTTCCTTCTGTTTGTTTGTTTGTTAAATAAAGTAAGTGACATAGCAAAACAGCCATGAGTGCTACCAGCACTGGAGAGCTAGCATAGTACACATAAATGTAAAATGATAGAGTAGATAAAAATTGAGGATGGGGTTCTTCCTCATCCCTTTCAGTGCCACAACCCATCAGATAAATCTCAGAGTTGCCACCTCAGATAGCACCACCCACAGCTCTATTTTGGTGCAAACTAACCGTCCTCACAGGCAACAAAATGGGATGATTAGGAATGTTCCAAATCGCACCAGAAAAACCGCTGTAGCCCTACTGCTGTGCTGAAAAGGAGCAGGACAGCTCTAAAAAGGCCTGGGAAAGCTTTCCCTCTAATTTTCAGCCCCACTGGGCAGGGCTCTGCCCCTCTTGTACATGACTCTGGCTTCTCCATGTAACTCTGCCTCCCCACACGAGGTTCTGTTGCGACTGGAACCAAAGAGGCTGGAGATGCTGACAGTGGGTGCGCGGAGGAGGAGGAGGAGGAGGAGGAGGAGGAGGAGGAAAGCTGCATGGAGGAAGGAGGAGTTGCACATGCTCACACAGCCGTGCACCTTAGAGGGAACCTTGGCCTGGAATGGATTTCCCTTAAGTCAAAATATAATTAGACTTGAACCAAAGAGCACTAAAAGTGATCCAAGTAGTGAGCTATATGCCTCTTTTGATATGCTCTGACCCGAGTATTTCTGCTTGCCATTCTTCCCTTGAGTGATGACTGCTTTGTCTTTCATATCTTAAGTTAACTCTTTTGGTAGCATTGGTTGCTGTCTGCTAGGTAGTCTGCATGTTTGAAGAAGTCAAAGGAACAAATAAAACATTGTTGCATAGTCTTTCGTTTTCTTAATGTTTTCTCTCTAGCAAATGTACCATGTCATTACAGTGTGATCCTCTGTAAGTTCATTTGGCACCGTGACTCACTGATGTACAGTATATCACAGAAGTGAGTACATCCCCTCACATTTCATAAATATTTTAGTATATTTTTTCATGTGACAACACTGAATAAATGACACTTGGCTACAGCGTAAAGCAGTGAGTATACAGTTTGTATAAAAGTGTAAATATGCTGTCCCCTCAAAAGAACGCAACACACAGCCATTAATGTCTAATCCGCTGGCAACAAAAGTGAGTACACCCCTAAGTGACAATGTCCAAATTGGGCACAAAGTGTCAATATTTTGTGTGGCCACCATTATTTTCCAGCACTGCCTTAACCCTCTTGGGCACCAGAGCTTCACAGGTTGCCACTGGAGTCCTCTTCCACTTCTCCATGATGACATCAGAGAGCTGGTGGATGTTAGAGACCTTGTGCACCTCCACCTTCCATTTCAAGATGCCCCACAGATGCTCAATAGGGTTTAGGTCTGGAAACATGCTTGGCCAGTCCATCACCTTTACCCTCAGCTTCTT